CTGCTTGAGATAGCAATGAAGGATTCTGCACCTGATGCTTGTAGTGATCCGAGTACAAGCATTAATTAGACCCTTACCAATTCACTACCCGCGTAAACTCGTCAACTGGTGCTTGCGCAAACGAGATGGACAACAAAACGCACCGACCTCAAAATTTGGCGAGCGATCCCATACGTCAAAGACGACTCGGAAGCCATTGGCCGACCTCTCGCATAACTTGGATCTGGAGTTGCACACAGGCCGAAGGCCGCCTTAAGGCATCGGATAATGAAACCGAAAGACCCACTGCCGCGACAAGAAACATCGGGAGTCATCTACAAGATCTGGCGCAGTTGCGGACAAAGTAAATATTTCGGGAAAACTGGCAGACTGGTCAAGACGCGAACTGCCGAACACGCGGCGGCAGAAGGGCAACATGGTGCCAATTCTCAAGTTAAGGCTACTTCGACGAGACCCGACCACACATTAAAATTTGATGAGGACAATTATGTGAGCAGATAATCAGTCGAGTCATGGTTCACGGACTCCCAATCCATATTCGGTGCTGAGGCTCAATTTGGCCAAAACAAGTCTCTACTTGGGGAACACACAGGCCACAGCGTCGTCTTACGCCAACACCGGAGAGCCAGATGGCCGAGCAGTCATCACACCCGAGTCCAGCACGCGTGATAAAAGTTCAGCAAGTCACAGCCCCCATGCCGGTCAACAAGCTATCAACACATAAGAGGGCAACTATCGTTATACGTTTGCAGTAATGACAATGCATTATAAATACTATAAATTCCCGTGCATATGTCGCCCGTTTCTGCTATTGCTTTCTGCTCATATCTCCGATGAAGAGATGTGGAAACATCGGGCGAATAAAAGTATTGTCCCAGCGATCGAATCGTCTTCTTCTCACTTACTTCCTGGGACTCGCTTTTATTGACTGCAGGCAGTTGTTATGAGTACGTGAGTACATTAACGGTAGTTGTTCTAAGACTTTACGTGGTACTATTATCACGACAGTAGATACATTACGGCCCAGAATTCGTGCAGCATGCCGCTCTTTGCGAATGATTGATACTCGCTCGCTAATTGGCATTGAGTAAAGTTATAATACTGATTATCATGCAGCCTATTCTCAAGACATTTCAGTCACGACAGGATGCCAGTCTTTTAACCAGCTTCTTTCTGACGGCTAACAAAACGTACGTACTGTAAAAAGTGGCTACTTAAATAATATGCATTTTGTCATTGATTTTGACTGTCTTTATAAATTCAAATATATTTTATGGAAAACGTGCCCGAAAACATTCCCTCTTGTACTTGTGTGGTAGACTTTATATTTGATACTTGCAAAAAGAGTAACTTGCGGTTTTAAAAAAAAGTTTCTAAATTGACGAATAACTTTGAAGCTTACCGACTGCTACACATGAATTCAAGGTTTACAAACTGCACGTTATTAACCTCATGTTAAAGTAAAAGTACACTTTTGCCTACAGTTTAAGGAAGAAGCCACATAGTTCTCATGAAATGCAGCAGTAGATGTAGATCATGCTGTACACATTATAGGTAGCATGCGAACGAATGGTGAGTAAGTATTTGAAACATTTGGCGAATAAACGTATTGCCAATAAAAGTGCAGGAAGAACAACCAACAGACTAGCAGGCGTTTCAACTTTTTTACGTATTGTATTCATTATTATATTATTTTAGATTGTTTTCTTACTTGTTCAAAAAAAGAAATGGTGGTTAGGAGGTTGTATACTTCAAATTATCTGTGGTCCAACTTGCTGTTCTGAAGTTAGTTTAGTATAGTCCGCGGCGCGAAGCGCCGCACACACCTTCAATTTACATGCGCAGTAACTTGCATGAAACCTTGAATGTGTTTTCTTCCAGTTTTTAGAACCCCTTCTCGACAAATAAAAGCATTAAAACGCCCGCCAATATATTGGACGGCCATGCCGCATGTTTATTGGTTAAAATTATCCGCCATGTTTGTGCAAATAGGGTCTCTCATCTGGTTACGTTGCAAACAGTTTCCCTTTGTTTCCTTCTGCCGCCATATCCATCTCTCGCTCCATAAAACCAATTAATTGCGGCATCCTCAGTGCAGGTGTTGTGCGATGCACTATGTTTAATGGCATCTGCTTATGTCAGTCAAAAATGTAAACTTACACAGGACTATGACATATAGGGGGAGACAACAAACGACCGTTTCTCTTTTGCTCCACCCCAGCAGAAACGGACGGATAACGGTGGACCAAGCAGATTACTCATGAGATTCCTGACAAACTACTTCTCATTTCTTAACCAATGGAGGCCAGATGTTGTATCTGTAACCCATA